TTGCAGAGCTCTTAAGTAACTTCCTGAATGAGTGAGGAGGGTTGGGGTAAGGGACTGGCTTGCTCTAGTGCCTCAGGCCTGTGGCTGCTGCCAGACAGGCTTGTTTGAACAAGGCAGGAATGGGCAGGAGCTGTGTTCACATTTTCTGTCTTCCCTCAGCACCTTCTCTTTTTCACTCTTTGCCATTCAGATACTAGCAGAGCTCTTGGGAGTGCTGTTGTGAGTGGTAATTTTTAAAAAAGGCATTGAAATTTAAAAGCTAAAAGGCCTTGCGGAAACAGAGGATTTTACATTTTTTTTTTTTAATTGCTGAATAGGCTATGAGCATAACTTCTACCTTGTAAGCACTTATGTTTGTGGAGAACATCTCATTCTGTGCAAATATCCGGATATTTAATTGGTATGTGCATCATGTGGGAATGGGTTCTTACACCATCTATCTTTCCATGCATACGTCTAATCTGGATCCTACCTTGTCTAGGAGGAAATCCAATTAGTGTTGTTGATGGTGCTGTTAATGAAAATAGTGTTGTCCCTTTTGCATTCATCTGTTCAAATTGTTCCTTTTCGCATTTTCTCCTCCTGCAGATAGATATATGGCTGTATTAATTAGGAAAGCACGTCTGATACTGTTGTTTCTGGCTATGGTGTTTAATTTTTAAAAAAATTACACTCCGTTTAAAGATCTGTAATTACACAGGTTAACATATGTTATGTCACATCAAAACCATTTTCTGAATTATGAGCAGTTCAGAATGAGCATTCAGTAGAAGCTGCAGAAGCACTTTATTGGCTTGATTTATGTGATTGCTTTGCCTTTCCCGAGTCCTGCAGCGAGGGATCTGGATATGCTCCTTCCCACCTTTGTGAAACCAGGCTGCGTGCTTAAGTGTAGTTGAGTAGTACCTGAGAGTAAATAGTTTCTGTCTAGACCCAGGTTAACTCAGGTGAAAGCGAGTAGTGGCATGGGAGCACGCATTAGTGGTTTTAACTGGCAGTTGCTTTATTTTGCTCTGCTCAGGGATTGATGTCAGGGAGTTGACTTAATGCATATATCTATGGGTTAAACGTGTTATCTATGTTCCAGTAGGGCTGCTTCTCCATGGGAGGAACAGCAGGCTGTTTGCTGGCTGTCCGAATATGGAAGCAGAGAGCTGATCCTTGGAGGGATTTGGAAGATGGCCCGGGCAAAGCTGCAGCATGCCAGGGATGAGCTGGCGGCGGCCGGGTCCGTCCGTTACCAAGAGGTGGCAGCTCGCGGTCAGGAAGGAGCGTCAGCTGCGGAGCTAGCCCTGCCATCGCCTTGCTTTTACAGCATTGCAGGCAGCACAGGCCTTTTCATATCCATTGTGTGTACAGGGCATAGTAAATTTATTAAGGTAAGAATTTATAAGCATTAAGATCTCTATATGAATTGGAAAAGTACAGAAGTGTAGAAGTGTGATGAAGTTCTACAACAAAGGGTTTTCTTTGCAGTACTGCTTGTGGCATATGGTAATATCTCCACTGAATCTGAATTATTTAGAAGTGTTTTTTCGTAACAATTGGACTTTAAATAGCCTGGGGAGGAATGTTTAGGGCAAAACTCACGTGGTGTTGGAGACTGAATTCTAGGCTGCCTTGCAAAAATTTTAAATATATGTTCTTAGAACATAAACCATGTTTACCTCTGACTAAGCCAGAGATGTATTTATGAGCTTGTGGTAGGTTTTGTAGTTTGTGAGCTACCGTAGTTGGGATGGTGATGCGTTGTGTCCTGGAACGTGTATTTATTATGGGGCTTAGCTGGTTATTTTCCTGGATCTTTTACCACAGGAGAGCTGGGTTTAAGTTCTGCCTAAGTGTAGGTAAGGTGCTAGTTCAGGAATTGGCTTGAAGAGAGTTCATGTAAACGTATGCATGTCACCTTCATCAGGTTTGTGCTTGCTTTTCTGAGTCTTACCAATAAATGGATATTGAGATCTTCTAACAGCAGTACCTTGAGCCTTTAGGACAGAAAAGCTTGTTTGGAGTGAGTTACAGTGGGAGTGGAATTGAGGGGCTTCATTCTAGCTTCTGCTTAAGTTACACTAATCACAGGTGCTCTGGCGAGTCCACATCGTCCAGTTTGATAAGACTAGCTCTGATATCGCCAGTGTAATGGGAAAAGACTCTGACACTGCAATGAGAGTATCGGTATGTGCTGATGTGGCTTTTGTACTGCGAGCCTGTGGCACCATTCTGTAGCTGGAGTCCATGCGCCTCCCTTCTCTGAAACAAAATCAAAGAGAAACATTAATTGCAGCAAACAGTTTACAAGCAAAAAGCTTTTCTGGTAAGTGGCTTTGAAATGATCTCTTCCAGAGCTGGTGTGGAGCATTCTAAGTGCGGAGAGGCCATTGAGAGCTCTGGGTAGTTGCCTTGGCTGCTTTCTTTAAGACTTTGACTAAATAATATGCACTTCTGTATCTCAGAAGTGACTGTAGGTGTATACCCATATTGCTGCATAGATCAGAAAAATTCACAGTGATATTTGAAGCAAAGGCTCTAGCTTGGCCTGATATTTTAGTGATTTTTCTCCCACTGGGAGAGCAGTAAATAGTCTTAGATTGTAAAGACGGGACTAGAAATTGAGGTCACAGTATAATATGCAAGACCTTTTTTTTTTACCTTGTTTACTTTATGCCAGGCTAAGTATTTCATAGCAAAAGTAAATTTCTTGTGCAGTTTGTGAAATAAATAATAGAGAGATCCTGTTAAAAAATGCATTGGCTGGCTTCCTTGTTTTAATATTAATAAGGCAGGTTGCTACAATAAAATTAGCTCTGCATGGTGTTTGTCACTGTACTGCCAAAGCAATCGAGTCGAATGCCATTCCTTCCTGAAATGAATCCCCAGGAGAGCAGTATTTGTGCTGTTCTGAAACCTCTAACCAGGGAAGTTGGCGTTGAACAGTAAATTATGGAAAATGCAGATTTTAATCTGGGAATCCCAAGTCTGTCTTTGGCCTTGCAGCTTTCTGGATGCTTATGTGAAGTGTTTTAATGTTGTTTACACATGCATTTTCTCTGCTGTAGTGACTAATATCCAATTGCTTGGCTCATCGTGTTTATGGACAACTTGGTAATCATAACTGTATGGTTTCATAGTCCAGAAACCTCTCCTGGTGGGAGCAAGACAATCTGAGCCATGAAGGTACTTAGCTAGGACTGCAGCGCACTAGGACACAGTGCCTTTTGATTTAGGGGCAAGGGGCTGAAGGCATCTGAGGAAAAAGAGTGACACTGAAGTTGGCACAAAGATGATACTGTCTCTTTCTTTTTTTTGAAAGATGAATCTGTGCCTTTAAAAGGAAAAGCCCTCTACCAGCCCTGTGCCCCTGTGATTTATAGCATGCATTTATCTGAGCCACGGAGCAAAGGGAAAAAACCTGTAATCTTGATACATTTTGTTATGTGACCGCAACAGCATTTTTGTCCTTACAAATAATATGAACACTCATTGTATTAGAGGCCTTGTCAACTGAGGTGATATTTAGGTTAAAAGAAGCATTAGGTTATTTGATCACGGTTATAGATACACTTCTGCCGAAATCTGCATTTAAGGCAAGCTTAAACTCTCTCCATTTTACAGTTTGCATTTTTAGTTTAGGATCCAAATTGGAATTACTTCAAGCTTTGCCTGCGAACTGAATCTTTATAAGATTTATTGAACATGGAAGTCTGTGAAGCAGGGATGCACATATGTTTAAATACCATCAAGGTCTATGGGTCCAAATATCTGCTTAAGTGTTTTCTTGAAAACAGTCATGTTTCAAGTAGGCTTTTTAAATTTCCACTTTAAAGAAATGTCTTGAGAATCCAGCAACTGGGAGATGCTTTCTTAGCTGGCGAAAACCTGTTCTGAATAACCAGGTCTTTGCAGTTCTATGTTATTTCTACTTCTTATGATATGCTGTAGTAAAAAATTTGGAATAATGGGTTGCGTTTATTGTATGTACTTTCTATAGACTGGATGAAGTTGACAGCTCAGCCTTACTTTAAGTGGTGTTACTGGCATCAGAAGTAAAACAACCCATGTCTTCCTTCCTTTTTAATTTGCAGTCTGCAGGAGTCTTAGCTGAAAATGGAGAGAGATATCTGTTTGTAAATGTGAATGATCTCTTTGTGCAAGAGGCTGGGGGAGGTGGAATTCCCCCCATGTTCCTTGGGAAAGAGATACGACAGAAATGTCTTGCTTGCTTTATGCCATTAGCCAAGGAGAAATTTCATGCAGAAGATGAAGGTGGTGGTGTTTTTGTTTTTTTCTTTTTTTTTTTTCCCTGCAGCAGAAGGAAAGTGGGACAAGATGAACAAAAGGAAACTCTTAGCTTCTCCCTTCTTTCCAAATTACTCTAGAGAAAGGCAAAACAAGGCAAGACAGGTGGTGCAACTGTAGCTGGGAGTGCCTCTGTGGACTCCTGGCCAATGTCAGCTGGATGATTGTTTCTTTTCCTCTATCCTGCAAGATGGGAAATGCTGGATGGAGAAAAGAAAATAGCTGGGTAAGCACAGGCACACAATTTTGTCCCTATACAAGGCATTGATTTACAAAATGGGGTCACTGAATACAGCAGCAGCACTTTCGGGAAGACAGTGGAGGAGCTAAGTCTGTTTTTTATGTTCTTTGACTTATTAGAATCTAGGCAAAATGTGATTTTTCCCATCTGGGTAAAGAACATGCTTGCTGTCTCAGGAACACTGTGTCTTCCTGGGTACAGCAAATGAAAGACGGGAGAGGAGACGGCTCACCACGTCATAGCTGAGAAGCTGATATTTATTCCAGACTTCAGTACTTGTTTAGGCTGTTCCCAGTCCTGTATTCTAAAAGATTACAATTTCTCTCTATTGCTGGAACTTACTCCCTTTTTGGGGGATTTTTTTTCCTCTTTGGCCTATTTGCCTTGTATGTTCTTCACTACTGAGTGATTTGAAAGTGTTGAAGCTAACTTAAAACATTTTGGTATTCTCTTCTGCTTTTAGTGTGAAGATGATCTGCCTAACAGCCAGAAAGGTACAACTGAAATAGCACCTGAATATGGGCTAGAAGACAGAGTAGACGTTCGATACCTTCAGTGGTTAAATGGGAGGCTGAGGTTCCAGTGGCGGAGTTTGCATGCTCAGCACCAAGAGCAATGCAAACTTTTGCACAAGGTAAATGATTCTTCTAACTCGCTATGGCATTGTTTATTATTTAAAAGCCTTGTCAGCTAGCGCTAAATGTACAAATTATTCTTGTTTGCTAGTTCTGCATTTTCTGTAGGTAAGAGTGAATTACTCTAAATATAAATACCCCCACCTTTTCCTAGTAGGGGAGAACCATGAGAAAATGAAGTATGTACAGTGTTCGTAAGGTTATAATTGTTGTATAAAAGTCTGTCTTACAGGTTGGCACATTAGTCACTTCTGCAACCATAGGCTGTCTCCATTTTTCTCAGAAAATGCCTGTTAGAAGGAACACAGAGCATTCTGGTCCCATAGGCAAGAAGTAGTGACTCAGAACTATAAGTTCATCGGAAATGTGGATTCAAAATATTGAGCATGGATGTTGGAAGTAATAGCAGCAAAATAAAATGCAGTTTCCCTTTCTGAAGTAGTAGCAGAACCCAAAATCTACATGCTTTTAAATCAGGAATCAATAGTGGTCTCTACATTGCTAAGATTCCAGTTCTATTCTCATTTATGAATAATGTTTATATGCCTGTCGAAAATCACAGACATCTGGGAGCATCATGTCTGCTTAGGATGGAGACAGCCTGCAGTCCCAAAGTTGACAGTGATGGCAACTGCAGAGACAAATTTAAAAAAATGGTTCTAAAGATAGTCCTAAAAGTTATTCAGTAATGTTTTCCTTAGGCCCACTTTCTCCATTCATATCTCTTCAGGTAACTTATATGGAGCCACTTGGTATTGTACCCAGAACCTTCACAGAAAACCTTTTTGAGACTATGAACAGTTTTGAGAAATTTCTCCTCAAAGAACAACATTTATCAGAAAGTTGTCAGAATCAGAACAAGAGGGTTTTGAATGAAGATGCCTTCTTGGTTTTAATCCTGTGTCTGATAGAGCAATGCTGAAAACTATAATGAGGTTACATTTTGTTCTTCACATGAATTGATTGCTAGGGAAGATGTCGATCAGGTGCTGTGTGTGCAGCATCTAAAATAACTTTTTGCTTCTCATTGCCCGCTGCGAACGTGCTTCCCTGATCTGGGAACGAAGACAGCAATTCACCGTAAGTGCAGGTGGAGTCCTTGGTTTTTGCACTGAGATTACAGACAGTGATGCTATTGGGAGAGGTGGCTTAGTGATATAAAACTCAGATGAAATGATTGGCATCTTCTCCCCTTGATAAGCTACCTCTGTTTAAGGTATGCTGATTTTTATAGTAGGTGAGGCAAATATCTCCATAACTCATCATCAGTGCTCTGATTTATGTACTACTTGGCAGTAACAAATCGTTAGGCAGCTTCAATGCCTGAGCTTGCAGTTAATGACACCAAGGAAGAATTAAGAGCAGGTCGAACCTGGGGCCTCAAGTACAAACAGAGATACTCTCAATGGTTCACATCAGGCACTGAAAATGATGAAGAGATGTGGTGATTGGGCAACGTGCTAAACTTGTTGACAGGGGAGATGGTGCCCTCCTGTGGAGATTGTGCTTTAAATAAACTTGGACTTTTTTTTCCCCCTGTGGCTATCCAAGGAAAAATGTTTGCTAAAGTTAGGAGTGTTACAGTCAGACAAATATAAGAGAAGTTAGTTATGCTGCAGTTCCCTGGACCATGATTTCCAGAATCTGGAAGAATAAGCAGGAGGGAGAATGTTTCTCTATTCATCCAGTTTCCCAAAGCTGCCATTACTGCCTTCTCCAACAGTCATCACTGGACTAAGTCGAAAGCAATAAGCGGAGCTGGTTACGATTCTTACGATCAGACTATGCTCTGCAGTATATGTAGAGGGCTGCCATCATGGATGTATACATAGGAGGATAGATTTGAGCCCAGCTCCTCCATATGTGATCGCACACTGACATGTGTGCTCAAATACGTATGTGCAACTGTGGGAGTTCTGTTCAGAGCTGTAATAAAGTGCAGTGCTCTGATTTATATTTTAGTCTGAATTAAAAGCAGGAAAATTGAAAGGTAAAAGTGACTTTGGAAGGGACTTCATTACAGTGCCATGTTAATGTTAACATTTACGGTAACACAAAATATAACATACTTATACAATTTAACAGCTGCATAAACAATAATTGGTATTTCCTGACTCTTTATAGAGAAATTTTGGCAGTGCTACTGCATTAATTTTAAAACTTTTAAACTAGTCTGCTATGTGCTAGAAGACTGTGCTGACCCAATATGACCTCTATATGAGCTGCTGCTTTTCTCATATAAACCACAAACACGGTATGCAAAAGGCTAATGAGTGTTATGTTTTTTAATTATGCTGACAGATTTACAGAGGGTTTTCTCTACAAAATGATAATTATGGCTTTTACTCGCTCTGTTTAATAACTTAGCAGGTTATGTATCTCAACTGTGGAACAGTCTTATTTACTGCTGATCACGAGCTATAATTTTTGCCAAGTAGTGGCGACACTTCCACAGATTTCATTCTGTGACTCACACAGGCTCTAAAATACCATATCTCTATTTGGGGCTTTCTGAGAAAAACACATCACACTTGGAAAATATGTTCTTATTCAGGAGATGACTGCTTTGCCACTCTGTATTTTTTAAGTATGGATATTGCTACTGGAAGTAAGAATTGTACGTAGAGGATCCAGGAAGAGGCTACCAAGATAGTCAAGGACTAGCTAAATTGGGCATGACTGCCAAGAAGAAGTTGAGGGAGTTGGGCTTGTTTGCTCTGGTGGAGAGGAGGCTGAGGGAGAGGTCACCTAATAGCTGCCTTCAGTTATTTGATGGTAGTTCAGTTACAAGGATGGTAGTTACAAAGATGAATCCATGGTCTTCTCAGCAGTACCAGAAGACAAAGGGGAAGGGGCCACTGGTTATAGCTTGGAAGGTTCAGGCATATTAGAAGATGCTTCTCTGGGATGACGGGCAGCATTGTAGCAGGTCACCGGAGACGCTGAATGGTCCCCATCCTCGGAGGTTTCCAAGACTCATATACAAAAGGCCACAAACTGATGTTGGTGATAGTCCTGGTTAGAGCAGTAGGTAGGACTAAAGACCTCTAAAGGTCTTTTCCGAAATGGTTTTGTGAAAAAATTCTGAATTGCTTGGGTGATCAGGGATATGTACTTCCAGGTTAGAAGTGATGACTCATGTCTTAATGAAATAGTATTGTACTGCCTGAAGAAAGGGTAAGGGAGAGGTAGGAGGGAAATAGGAGGAGGAGACAAATGAGGAGGCAAAAATAAATGGCTGTTCTTTCTCTAAAGTACACAAATGATAACTGAAACTGATTGCTGGGGCCTCTATCTACTCTGTCTTGGTTGGTGTGAAGTTACGTAGTAACCAGTGTAGGTTACTGAAGAGGGAAGCCTTCCTGGAGCTACAGCTAGTCATGTGTTGGGAATTGCTTGTTGGCGTGTGACTGGCTGTTCCTCTTTGCTAGTTCTTCTGATGAGCTGCTTTTCAGTGACTTCAGCTCCCAAAAGGCATGTTGAAGCTTACAGACGCACACATGTCCTGCTGTAGGAGGAAGACTTCCTCAGGGAAATCTTAACCTCTCTGTTGCTGAGGAATTTTGCAGCCTGAGGCTATGAGCTGTTGAATAACATTATAATGGCTTCTTAACATGGACAGGTTGGCCTGTTTTGAAAGTATAATACAGTAATACCATTATAATTCCCTCGAAATCCTTAGTGGTACATATTTACCTGATATACATTCAAATATATGGAAGTGTGAAGGATAAATTACCATGTTAAGGCATGCCTCTTGGTTCCTTCTATTCTGTTTCTTCCTCTTTCTGTCAAGTGCCAGAGGAATATCTATCTGCCTGGTTTTTGATCCCTCTTGAATTCTTACGGGAGAGCAGCTGGTTTTAGTTAGGCTTTGAATTACCACTTTGCCCTAAAAAATGTGAATGAGAAGCCTTACATAGTTTCAGAAAAACAGGTAGGAACCTGTATAGTTTAAAACTGGCATTGTTTTTTGGGTCTGTTAAATGCACTGTGCCACAATCAGCGTGTGAAAAGAAATAGCGGAACAAGTGAGTTTCTGCAAAACTGATGGATTTCCTGTGGGTATTTTCAGTATCCTCCATCCACTAAAGACTAGGACAGAAATCACACCTGAAATAAGGGAAGGTTAGATCAGGTTCAGAGGTGAATTTTGTTAAGCAGGTTTTGTTTGTTTGAACATCTGATTGTGGACTAAGGATATAAGTTAGTAGGAATAAAATTACATTAAATAGAATTCTTGATGATAGAAGAAGAGTTTAACATAACTGACTATCAGATCATGGTAAAATGACAATAATGGTTGTAATATGCTTGGAAATTGTAAGAGCAAGAGTTGTATTCTGTCAGTAAGAATGCAGAGCAGCACTGGGAAATACCTCCTATGAACAGAGTGGTTTCTTATGCCTCCTCTAAGATAAACAATATAAAATAAGATGTATTGCAATGGATTGGATTGGTTGTATCTATGTATCTGACGTTGTAGTAAAAGAGCAAAGGGACAAGGACAAAGTCTTGATCTCTGAATAACAGAGGGCAGAGACTGGTGCTGGGTGATTACCTCATTGTCAGTAATTTATGAGTGAGCTAAACTGCAATTGTTAGGTGCATCTGCATCTTGGCATGAGGAATCTACCACGTTACTCTGTAAATTACTACATTGGTTAATTATATCTTTTTTGTCTTGAGATATTTGGTTTGAAAATCTTTGTTTTTTCCTAAAGTGAATTTGCCATTAGATCTCAATAGCGCATTCTTTAATGCAGTAGAAGTTTTTCCTCTCGTGCAAGTGTGTGTGAACTATGAACAAGTCCCCTTTTCATCTTCTCTTAGATGAATTAGACAAGCTGATCTCCTTGCAGGGTGGCTAAGCTCAAGGGCGTTTAGGAGTTGGTACTGGAAACTCCCAGGAAGTGGTGCTCAGTGGGGGGCTGCGCCTGTACTCTCATGCAAAGGTTAGTGTAAGGTTAAATCCGACCTGCCTCCAGCTCAGTCCATTCCAGTGCTATGCAGCAACAGCTACACGTGCTCTGTCTCTCACCCTCTCACCTGCTTCTTTTACCTTGGTACTGTTTCCCTCTTTAAGCCTTGTTTCATCTTCAGTATTTTGTGGTTATCAATAACATCGTAAAAATACAAATACTGGATTATTCCAGTATCTGTCTAGTCTGGTCTCAGGGGAACACCTTATTCCTCTCTTGTTACAGCTTTACAGTATTTGTTTTGGGCTTTAGCCAGTGATGCTGCTGCAATATACTTTTGAAGAGGGGCTGAAATTCATCCCTGGTGCTGGAGGCCCAAAGGTTTGGCAGCCAGAGTTACGCAAGAATGCAGCAGGGAGAGGAGTGGCAAGTAGAAAGGAAGAACATTGTGTGGGGAGGTGCTCTTTTATTTTTAAACTCACATAGCTCTGCACATGTGACAGATGGTTGTCAGCAGAAGTGAGTTTTGGGAAAGGAACGCTAAAATATTCTGAAGTTTCAGGGAAGGGTTGATAATTACCCAGTGCCTGTCAACTTTAAAATAGTTGTCAATACCCAAGTGTATGATAAAGTTCATATTAAAATAAAGGAAGAAAAGCAGGAAACATTCTCTGTCTTCTGGCAGAAATATTAATGAAATATGAGTGATTGTCTGACAAATGTGCACTGCTATCTTGTTTGGCAGCTGCAGTTATTACAGTAACAAAGGGATCAGCTCTGAATAGGAGGAATTGCTTTTTATTGTTCCCTTGACTAACTTGGGAAGCTTCTTCGTCAAGTAATTGATGATACCATCGCCAGCGCAGCTGGGACAAGGTCCCAGTTAGTGAAAGCTGGCAATATACAGCAGCAAAAGAGAAACTTACTGTAACTAGGTAGCATTTTCTGCTTTAAAGAAAGAAATCAAAAATTATTCTGAGGGTATCCTTTACCTCTGTTAAGGCTTCTGATACCTGTGTAAATGGTTTCTCCTTTCATGCTATGCACAAGAGCGTGTGTAGTGTAAAGAAAAAGACTTCAAAACAGGATGAAAAGAGAAATCTTTCAGATTTATTGTGGCGGCAGCAGTAACAATTCCTGCATGTGGTTCTGGTAACAATACCAGGTGGACCATTTTGTGAGATGATTGTGGTGCATGATCATCATTTCCTGCAGGCTGTTTTAAAAAGGTCTGTTGTATTGGTTGTAGTAGTTACATTTGTATTTGTCCATCGGGAATGGGCTTATAACCACTGGTTCACATCACCATTCCAATACATGCAGCTGTTAGATGGTAGCTAATGATGTTGTTAATGATCTGGTCCTTGTACTGACTTTTAAATTAATCTATTCCAGATTCATTTATTCACTAGTGGCTCCCATATGGACCAGACCCTTGGACATTTTTCTGTCATTGAAACAGATCTCGTTAGACAACCGGAGAACTACAAGCAGGTAATGCTTCTCCTGTAATTCTTGGATGCTTAGTATGCTTTACACAAACATTGTTCAGCAGAAGACTGCACTCCTTGTAACATGTTTTTAACTTGGTTTCCAACAGGAATAAGGGCTTATATATTGAATTGTCAGTTTCTTTACTTATAACTTGTATTCACCAAATGGTTTCTTCTGTGTTTGATAGAACATAGACACAAAGGTATTAGACTAAGTTTTGTAAAAACTGGTAGACAGGGAGTGGGGAGAGACCTGACTGAAAGTGCCACTGAAGAGAAGGCTTGTAGAATAAAACATTCTAGATCAGTTCGCTGACTGCTGTTGTATACTACCAGTAACCACATCTGGGCCAGCCAGGCAGAGTGTCTGCCTGTGACCTTGCCTGAGCGGGTTGTCAGTGAGAACTGAAGAGGTCTGATTTATCTCTCCAGGAGAGCCAGAGCACATCTGATGCTAGCATTCATTAGTTCCAGAAATTATACAAGTTGACTACCTTTTTGGATGGTAGTAAGGGGCTTTATTTTGAGAAATATTTTAGAAGCACAGAATGGTTGAGGTTGGAAGGCACCTCTGGAGGTTACCTTGTCCAACCCCCCTGCTCAAGCAGAGTCACCTAGAGCAGGCTGCCCATGACCATGTCCAGATGGCTTTTGAGTATCTCCAGGGATGGAGACTCTACAGCTTCTCTGGGCGACCTGCTCCATGCTCAGTCATCCTCACAGTAAAAAAGTGTTTCCTTATGTGTTCAGACAGAGCCTCCTGGGGCAACATAATTTTTCCTAGTGTGCTGTTTTACGCTTAAGTATATATTTCTGCTGCTCTCAAATACTCAATTATCATAAATGTTTCAGTTTATTATTTGAAGTAGTACAATTCACTTGTTTTAAAACAATAATACATTTGTTTTACAATGAAGTAAGTTTGTGAAAGTTCATTCTATGTGAAACTGAAACAAGATTTTAAGCTCAGCCCTAACAAAATCAATATTTGGCAAATTCCTGCAGTCTGTCCAAATCTGTTTACTCAAAGAAGGTATTCTTTCTGCTGCTACCTTAAGATCAGAAGTGGGCATTGTAAATACCGTGCACAAAGAAATTCAGAAAAGTAGATTTGAAGGTGGGCGATAGTCTTATGTTCAAAACCCCTAAAGTAAAGTGCATGTTAATCTTTCATTACTGAGCATTCCTTGGATGAACGGTTCACATCCAGCCTCTTGATAAGGTTCAGCTGTTTAGAACACTTCCCTGGTAAATTACTGTTTTTCTAGAGCAAATGGCTAAGTCAGCTTTTCATTTCTGCTTCACAGTCCCCCTCCTATGGTTTGCTCAGCAGCTCAGAACACAGCACAGTCCTCTGAAGCCTGTACTTCATAGTCTTCCAGAGCTTAGCAAATGTCCGGAAAGGACTGGTGGGCTGGTACGAGAAACTTCCAGGCTGTGTAGAAGGACTTTGCAACTACCTTTTTCCAAAGCCTTACGTTGACTATGTCACTGATCTGTTACAGTAAAGCATAACGATACTCTAATAAAGCCTATTTGGTTTTGACTGCGCTGTTAAAGAGTCATTCCAGGAGTTTTCTTTCTTGCACGCTGCTCCCTTTCTGGATGTCTGCTTCAGGTGTGCTGTTCAGTGGAGGCTCAGGATAAAATGGAAAGGAAGAATCTTTTTGTATTTTAAACATTGTGATTAGGTAAAGTGCTATAGTCAAGAAGGTTTAGTGGGCAGCTATGTTGCTTAGTCAAAGTCTGTGGAGTCTTCATGCCACCTTTCCCAGGCTTAAACAGCAAATACATGAAACAAGGGACACCCCTTCAAAACAAGGGTGATCACTGAGAGGGACAGAGGCAGGGTGGCAGAAGATGTTTTCTTTAAATAAATTATGAGTGGCCACAGTCTCCATCTCCAGTTTCTGGGCTCTAACAGGTGCAGTCCCAAACAGGCTCCAGCCCCAGTGCGTGTGTGTTGGAAATTCTTTTCTTTTGTCACTTACTGCTTGGACTGGTCCAAAATTGGAGTTGTTTGTCAGCATAATCAGCTGTGAAATTCTTAACCTCTTGAAGTTCTCGAACCTATTCAAGAAAAGGGGTTCCTCTAAGCTGCTCTCTTGTGCCTGATTCTAAAATAAACAGGAAAAACTGCAGGAAGCTTCACAACACTTCAGTATACATATTGTCGAGAGACTTAGAATTCTTATTGACATAATTTGAGCAATCTTTGTAGTTTTTGTTTCCCCTTACCCTTATTTCCCAAAAGCAGCTTCCAGAAGTCATATGCTCAGTATGTACGAAGAGCCCGATATAACAAGGTGGTATGGACTTGAAAAGGCAAGGTTGTTTCAAGTGTCAGTTTTCCAGATGGATGGAATACTCGATATGCAAAGTGGTGCTTCTTTGGAAAACATAATAAAAAGCCTCTAATTTTCAAATATCTTGATAAGATTAAGTAAATTATGTATATTTGAATGGCTTGGTTTTCAAATATTGGTGCAGATGGCAGCACTCTGCCAAATGTTTTTTCCAAAAACTGTGAAATAATTTTTTCTCTTTAAGTAATGTGACATTTCTGTTAATGTTACCTCAAATAACAACCTGCTGCATGGATCAATAAAAAGAGCAAGCATGTCAATATATCTTACTGTAATGCATCCACGTTGGTGGATGGTGTTACGAATTTCTTCTCATGTTAGGCATCCTTCAAAGGATAGAAATACAAAGTGGATCGATGTGTCAAAAATTAGCTACCACAGAAAGGACATTGTGCTGTTTTTGAAGCCTAGAGTTCATTTTCATCAAAAATATCCTGCGAGATAAGTTGCTCTGACCTGTAATAAAACAAGAGATGTTTAGTCTGTCAGGAAAAGTGTGATAGGATACAGATAGCTGTGAAGTTAAACTTCAGTTTATGAAATGGAAAAGTCATGCTACTCCTTTTCTATAGGAAGTTGCACATTAACTTGTTTAAAATGTTCTTCCCTTGGATTTCGGACTATAAAACTCTTTTAGTGCTTTTATGTATAGGGATTTTACTGGACATTATTATTCTTTTATCATCATAAATGTCTTTGTCAGATTCATAGAGCTGGAACTTTTCCAAGAGTAATAGTTTTAATTATGTTTTTCTCTAGTGAGGCATGATCAAAATTCTAACTTTTCCTGTGGTTTGACTTGGCTGTGGTTATATACATGTGTGGCTGTGAATCGCAGAGGTCACCGCTGTGTTTAGTTCCTGTGCCGCCCAGGGGTGTCAGTGAATGGGAGGAGACGTTATTTCAGCTGGTGTTCATTTCCAGTTGAAGTACCTGTGCATGCTCGTGTTCGCTCTTGACCTCTACATGTATGTCCTTTCTTTCCCAAGATGCTGTTGTGTCTTTTTGAGCACTCCCTGGCTTGCAGAGTGTTGCATGAGAAGTATGCTGGTGGTCATTTTCTCCGCAGAAGCGCTTCAGTGGTTATGGAGCTGTTTGCCTGCGAGGCCGTGCTAGAGCGTGCCAGTCGGGGACAATTACAGCACGGCAGCGTGCAACAGCTTGTGCATTGCTAGGGAGCTTGGATGTTCATTATGTCTTTTCTTTAAAACCTCTTGCATGTATCAGTTAGAGTGTGCTAGAACATAGCCTAGAGCATCTTGAATGTCTTGTGTTTTGGTACATTTTCCAAGCTGTATTAGTACTGCTCATTTTTAATCGGTTCCCCTATTCAACTGGCGAGGGGCTGGGGGACTGCTGTTATTTGCCAGCCTGAAATATCTCAGGGCAGAAATGGAATTTTGGTCTCTGGCACTGTGGCTAAAATAGTTTGGAAGTGTACTGGGGAGAGTATGCAGAAGATGTGGCTGAGGGTAAGCATCATCTGCCCCAAACTTTCCAGGGCAGTGTGGTCTATCTCTGAGGATGCGGTCACATTCCTCTTGCAACTGTGAGGACGGTGGTTGTGATGTGTGACCGATTGGGTAGTTTTTCATCACTATGAGCATAATATAATCCCATTCTTGTCTATGAAGCCCATTTACTTTAATTCTGCATTGCAGTGTCACCAATTCTGATATTTTACCTTGAGCTCGAAAAAATGTATGTTGCACTTAAGAGTCATTAAATTAACTTTCGCATCAAATTGTTACCATATAGAGATCAATGAACTTTGAAGCAAAGCAGCCTAGTCCTTTGGTTCTCTTCATATACTGCTTTATATGTGGAATTCAATCTTGCAGGTTTTGTGATTAGTAGAGGTTAAAAGTTGTAGTCAGAACTCAGGTCATTGGTACAATGCTGGCGGTGCTGAAGTGATCATTGAAATTGTAATGAATAAAGATGACACCTTTAAATGCCAGTAGATCAATTTACTGAGTGTGACAGCAAATAAATAATGCAGCTCTCTGCCAGAAGGACATGCAGAGAAATTCATAGAAGTTGGGTGTGAATAGCTAACGATTTTGTTTCAGAATTTTTTGAAAAGTATTTATACTTGTTGATCATTAACACGTTTTAAAGGGAATTTATTTGGCTTAAGGAACTAAGGTCCTTGGTAGCAAGTAAATAGGAGCAAACAAATAGTCTGTCTGACTTTGCATACATAATGTATGGTCAATTCCATGCCCATAAAAAATTCAGGTGAGCTTTAGCTCTCCAAGCAGCAGTGATTGGGTGGGATGGGATAGGATGGGCATAGCATTGCTCTGCTTTCTGGACTGTTCATTTATCAGGGAAGGAAGCCAAAGTACAGTATATGTATTGCTTCCTTCAGTCACATGGGATTCCATAATTTCTTATCGGGACATTCAAGGGGTAAATGATCAAGTTGTAAGATAAGTTGATTGTGGACCCTAAATCTTGTGGCAGTTTCCATTTAAAACATCTGTCCCAGATGGCTGTTACAGATGGGTGACACAACATGGTTATTCTCTGTGAGTAATAGCCCATGGTTTGAATTAATGCACAGCACTAAAGAGCTTCTGTTCTTTTCAGAACAAGTACATTCAGATTGGGAGCATTAGGAACTGATAGG